ATCAGAATGAAGATTAGAATGTTAAGAGCAGAATCAAACGGAAGATAGCGAATTTTCATAGACTGATGTTACAAGGATAATGGGCGGATGCACGAGCGCCACTATTTACGACACCCAGCCATATCGCTCAGTGTCTTTAACCATCGGTGACCATAATCTCCGGGGGTCCCCAGTAAGAGAGCCTAACGGGACCTATGTGACCCAGTCCCCTAGTTACGGTCTTTATACCCTCATGCAAGGTCCTCATTTGAATACCATTGACCTTTTACCAAACACGCCTTGCCTCAGCAAAGCCAAAGTTATCTTTTCACTCCACAGCGTACAACGTCCGCACACTTTACCAGATCAGCTAACAAGTTGCCTTAGCTAGAACCCTTGAAAACATTAATTAAGGTGTATGTTGTGTCTCCGACGCACGGCTAGCGACCGAATCCATAATGGGGCTCATCCGACCACACACGCAGACACAGCGGCAGGAAGTGTCTCGGGATACAATGTTGACTTCCACCCAGAACGAGCGAATCGACAAGTACTGTCCGACAGTCAATCCGCAGTTAATGGGAAAGATATCCACTGAATGCCACAACGTCGGAGCTATCCATCAACGCATCTCGCGCCGCGATCGGGTCAAACCAGTCGGAATGGCACGCGGAAGAAAAGGCAACGTACGCGCCAAGTGCGGACCAAAACCAGCAAGGAATGACCCACAGAAAGATGCATGAATCATCCCGGTTGATAATTGATTGAATGTGATCGAACGCATACACCGTTTACTTTTGAATTGGATCAATAGACGTTTTTCCCAGCCAGCTCGCCTTCTCGCTGCAATCTTACCGAGTTGCAAGAAAGGGGATAGACCCTCGTGAAAATCAGGTGAAAAACAGGTTCCAAAGGAGTGGTGTTAATCCGTCATCAGCTTCGGAGATCTCGGTGGTCAAATACAGAAAGTCGATTAGCAGAGAAATGGACAAGATAAGCAAACGCCACAGTTTACGATACTCAGCCATATCAATCAGTGTCTTTCACCATCGAGTACGATCATCCCGAGGTCCCCATCTAGGGAGCCTAACGAGACCTATGTGATTCAGACTCCTGGTTAGGGTTTTCATAACCTCATGCCAGGTTTTAGTTTGACCACCCTTGGCTTTCTTCCATCCACTACCTTCCTCGGCGAACATCGCTTGCCGTGGCAACCTATCTGATGACATGCGTAGCACGTCTCAACCAGCCTAATCTATAAAGGTCGACTACTTGCTCCAGTGGACGACCGCAATTACCTAAAACTCTACGCCTAACCTCAGCATTGTTCGTATGACCGCCCTACCAGATTCGTACAACGCCGCATAGACAGCAGTGTTCAAAAACCGACAGTCTATTTTTATCCCGTTCCCGTAACGGCCAAGTTTCTGGGCCGAACTGGCAGAACTGGCCGGACCGCCGCACATAAACTCGACCGGTCACAGACAGGCGGATGTCGCAACGGCGCCACAGATGTCTCAATTTGGCAAATGCCAACCTAGCCTTCTGTATGAGCGCTGACATTTCATAGATGATGTGTCCACCAGGTGAGATGCAGCTGCCAAATAATAACTTATCCACCTGCTCCATCACCTGCCCAGTAAGAATGAGGCTGCCGCTACAGGTGCTTGACCAAACCAGTCTTGGAGTAAAATTTTACACTCTGAGCGTGGAAAACGCATACCTAAGATGCTTACACTAGCACTCAAACTACCCAGAAAAGTTTGCAACTTACCTGGATCTTTACTTAGCAGCACATTGTCGTCTGCATAATCTAGATCAGACTGTCTGCCACCTGAGAGTAAATCGATACCCCTATCCTCGCATGAGGATAGGGCTGTTTTAACAATTAAATGAATCACAAAGTTAAATAGAAACGGTGAGGGGGTAACCCTATCGAACATCACTTTCCGTGGTAAACTCGGGCGAAAACGTGCCGCAGCTCGGACTCTGCTTCGGCTACTATTGTAGAGGGATTGTAATATTGAAATAAACTTCTTGGGTACACTCTTCAGGGAAAGGCAGCGCCAGGGTTTAGAGTGGTCGACTGAGTCGAAAGCCCCTTTTAGATCGAGGAAGATGGAAATGGTGGGTCTACGAAAACAGTGTCTGTGTTCCAGGATTTGACGAGGACTAAAGATATGGTCAATACAACCTCAACCAGGTCTGAAACCAGGCTGATTCTCACGTGTGCGCTCTTCACGAGTGGCAGAAAATGGACGGAGTATGATCCTGGCCAGAAGTTTAGAGGCAATGTTAATTAAACTAATTCCTCCGTGATTTTCACAAGAGAACCTGTCGCCCTTCTTATAAATCGGTATGATCACCGATTCACACCATTCAGTTGGTACCTGTCCCTTTATCCACATTGAACCCAGGAGTTTTTGTAACTCCAGAACTAACTGACAAAGTGGGGAGACAGATATTATTGCGAAAAAATCAGACAGACATTAGGAAAAGACGTGATGTATATATGCCTTCTGTAAGGTACACTGAATGATGAAACTGTGGGGACGACAGGAATACTTTCTTAAACAATACAGGAGAGTAAATTCTTCACAAGAGAATGAGTCTTCTTTCAAGCTCACGAGCAATTCGGTTTAATGAGAAACTTGTTATATTTGGGTTCTCCCGGAAACTGAAGCTCGAAGTGCATCGAAAGCGGTCCTGCACTTCCCACATGTATAGTTTAGATCGTATTAACAATCAAAAAATTCATTTCAGTTATTTTTATTCACATTATTTGTTGTTCTTCATAATCCGCCTCGATTGTGTATTTGAGAAACTGATGGTCTACGCAAAAGTTTGGAAAATGATTACCACCTGAATCTATACCATTTTAAGATTAATTTGCGAGACTGTCTTTTTGAATTGAGAAAGAAATGCTGTGGTTGGATCTGCTTCCGTTCAGTGCACCTCACTGGTCAACTGATCACACGTTTGATCTACCCCCTGACTGACCACCTGTCTTCCCACGCTCTTTCGGTGCTGAAATGAAGCAGACCTCGGTCTCGTATCTTCTTGAGCTCGTTGACGGACGGCGATTTGGTGGGTCAGTGAAGCCGTGCGATTTACGCGAGACAGCTAAGTTAAACAGAGTTACTCCTAGTCAGAGAAAGTATTGTTTCTTAAGGAACATCGACAAATTAAATCACATTACAGCTACATCTGCCGAATTGGATGCCTGACTATTTTACTGACTGACACCAGTTCACGTGTCAATTTGTCGATGTTCCTTAAGAAACAATACTTTCTCTGACAAGGAGTAACTCTTTTTATCAAACGGATTGACTGCGTTCTGTTTGGTCAGTTCTGTGGGTTGAGCCAGGAATGGACGAGCTGCAGTTAGGGCGTACTGGTTTTGTTTGTGAGGTCAATGTAAAGCATCCCAGTCACCCAAGTTCACCTCGAGAAATCCAAACCATGTCACTGAACAAATGTTAATATTCGAATAGATCCATGATACACGTAATGAAAAGTACATCGCTTGGAGTACACTGTAAGCACAAACCTCGTCCGTGGTAGTTCCTACCGTAGTAAACTTTGGTTATTAAGCTATCGTCAATACCCGAGTAACTACGACCAGTTGTACGTTAGCTGTAGCGCGCACGAAAATTTG